TTTGTACACATGGCAGCTTTACAGCAACAAATAAATCTCCAATACTCACAGAATGAAAATAGCCAAGCCCAGAGTCTTGGCCTTTACGGGCTATGAAGAAGTGTGCCAAGAAGAAAAAAAAAATCACATATTCCCTCTCCTGATAGATTATTATTATTATTATTATTATTATTTAAAAAAAAGTCAATGGCATGGTAAAGTTTGTACAGGCAGATTCTGAGACTTTAGGCCAGAACCTGTCTGGAACGTTAAAGGAGGGCAGGCCAAGAGATTTGGTAAAGACCAATTATCTGGCCTCTTTCCTGTTCATCTTAACTTTTTTTTTAAAAAAAAATTTATTTATTTATTGTGTATACAATATTCTGTTTTGTGTGTATGCTGCAGGCCAGAAGAGGGCACCAGACCCCATTACAGATGGTTGTGAGCCACCATGTGGTTGCTGGGAATTGAACGCAGGACCTTTAGAAGAGCAGGCAATGCTCTTAACCTCTGAGCCATCTCTCCAGCCCCTCATCTTAACTTTTGATGGAGGAAAGATCCGACTATTTATCCAGCTCCCCCTGAAGGAAAGACACTACAAGCGGTAAGAATCGGGCCCTGGAAGTCTAATTTTGAAAATGATATCCCCCAAATTGACCAAATCTGAAAGATTCATCAAGGAGGTGCAATATTTCAGCAATGAGAAATTTAAGACATCAAGAAAAGAAATTGAAGAAGACACTAGATGTTGCCAAAAAGGTTTATGCTTCTGCACCATGTAATTAATATTGTAAAAATGTCTGTCTGACAGTAATATATAGATTCGATGAAACCCCTTCTCAAAATTCCAAAGATACTGGGAGGGGGGAGGGAGAAAGGATGGATATGGGATCAGGGAAGAATATATTTCAACTAAGGGAGTCATTTTAGGGTTTACAGGAGACTTGATTATAAATGGGATCCCAGGTCCAAGGAGAGATCCCCAGATTGTTCTCTGGACAGAAGAGAGGGTGCCTGAAACGGCCTAGGCCCATAACCATACTGATGAATATTTTGCTTATCACCATAGAACCTTCATCTGGCGATGGATGGAGATAGAAACAGAGACCCACATCGGAACACTGGACTTAACTCCCTAGGTCCAAACGAGAAGCAGAAGGAAAGAGAACGTGAGCAAAGAAGGCAAGACCAGAGGGAACCTTCATCCGACGATGGATGGCGATACAGATGGAGACCCACATTGGAGCACTGGACTGAGCCCCCCAAGGTCCAAATGAGGAGCAGAAGGATGAAGAAAATGAAAAAGGAAATAAGGACTGCGAGGGATGCGATCACCCACTGATACAAGGGGACTGATCTAATGAGAGTTTACCAAGGCCAGTTGGACTGGGACTGAACGAGGACGCGATCCAACCAGATTCTCTGAATGTGGCTGGCCCGGAGTCTTTCTGAAAAGCCATTGACAATGACACTGGGACTTGTTTCCTCTGCATATACTGGATTTTGCGGATCCAGTCTGTCTGGACACTCACCTTCCTGGACCTGGAGGGAGAGGGGAGGAACTTGAACTTCCCACAGGGCAGGAAACCCTGACTGCTCTTAGGGATGGAGAGGGAGGAGGAGAGGGAGTGGGGGGAGTGGGAGGGTGGTGGGAGGAGGGGCGGAAATGGAAACCTTTAAAATTTAATAAAATTACTTTCAAAAAAAAATTCCAAAGATACTCCTCACAGAATAGAAAAATAATTCTAAAAATCATATAGAACCACAGTAGATCATAGCTAGCCAAAGAACCCCTAATTAGAAAGACACAGCTGGAGGATTCAGACATACCTTTCCTCAACCTACATTACAACAGCAGCATGGTGCTGGCACAAAAGCAGGCATTGTAGCGCAATGAAAGAACATGGGACCCAGATTTTCCAGCTATTGCTCTCCCAGACATGTGCCCAAAGGACTCTATATCCTTCTGCAGAGATAGTTGACAACCATATTTATTGCTGCTCTACTAACCATAGCAAGAAAATGGGATCACCTTTGATATCTTTCAACAGATGAGTAAAACACAGAAATAATGGAATTTTATTTGACCATAAAGAAAAATAAAATTATAAAATTTGCAGGAAAATGGGAGGGTCTGGAAGCTACTATGTTAAGTGAGGTAAACCAGATTCAGAGAGATAAATACCATCTATTTCTCTCATATGTGAATCCTTGCTTTTAATCTTCATGTATGTATGTTTATGCAGGTGGGTTTGAATACAGGCCACAGAACTGGAGAGGGGGCCCTGAGGGAGGGACGTGGCTTTAAGGAAGGTGGAGGGAAAGCAGAGCACTTGTGATGTGACAGGAAGGGCACAATGGAAGGTCAAAGGTTGCTGGGAGACAAAGGGGCTAGGGAGGAAGGGCCAGCCAAATAAAGTGTGTCCGAAGTGTCACAATGAAAACTCTTATACTGTATGTGAATTTTAAAAACAAACAAAATTCTCAGTCCATGACATCCTATGAGAGGAGGTTCAGGTGGAGGTCTTTTCCAGAGCAACAGGCAGCCCTGAGGTCTTGGTTCAGATACTGGTAAATGCTACCTAGGCCATTTAAGCCAATGTCCTAACATCCTAAGAAACTCGAAGTCAAACATTAAGAATTATAACCGAGAGAGACACCAGGCAGCAGCAGGGCATCAGAGTGACAGGAGAAGGAAGCAGAGAGGTTAGCTTAGTTTGGGGTTACATCCTCCCAGGGGTGCCTGGGGGTCAAAAGGAGCTCTGGTAGGGTTGTGGACACAGGTCTTTGCTTCTGATTCCAAGCTCTGTTTACACTGTGGTGACTCTGAGCTCGGTTGTTATAATTTTGAGGGTTTATTTTTTGCTTGTGTGTTTTTATATTTTGCCTCAGGAAAAATCATTTTGAAAGACTTTGACAATTCACAGCCATCTTAGGAATGCGGTAGCGTTTGGCCTCTATTTTTTTGACCCTCGTTCAGGCCTGTTTCAGGATAAACCAAAGTAGTCCCCTCAAAGCCCCAAGATGAGAAATGAATATCAACCTGGCAACAACCTGGAGCACACTCAGTGCAGGGGAATACAGCATCGAAAGTTTATTACCATTTACTGCAAGCCTATTATGTGCCAGGTACTGCAATAAGTTCATCTCCTATCATAAGCCATGCGGGTTCTGCCATTTCACGGGTAAGGATGCCACAACTCAACATCCATAAACTGAAGCCATTTGTGGTGGCCAAAGAATTCTCTGGTCCTTTTTTCTGATGTGGGAAGATACGGTAAGAAGTCAGAAGTGTTGGCTACCTCTGGTGCTGTTCTCCGACTCCATTCTCCAGAATGGAGAGGAGGAAGTTTCTGCTGTCAGAAGCTGCCTCTGGTGCGTGTCTATAGAAGCCCCAGCACACCCACCTCCTCCACTGCATAGAACCTTGCCCAAGGAAGGTGCAATAGAACATGGCAGAGTTGGTATTTCTGACCCAGTTCCCAAACTAGCCCTCCAAAACCCTGCTTATAGCTTGCTGGCAGCTCACTGTGCATTTTTGCTGGGTGGTTACGTTCCTGACGGTAGCTTCTGGAATTCAGCATTGCCTAGTCAATTTTAGTTGGCCAGACTATGCAACTTGGTCCTAATCAGCACCATCTTAAAGGAGAGGCTTTTGACTTTTTATTCTTCCTCCTCCTCCTCTCTTCTTCTTGTTCTTCTTCTTGTTCTTCTTCTTGTTCTTCTTCTTCTTCTTCTTCTTCTTGTTCTTCTTCTTCTTCTTCTCCTCCTTCTTCTTTTTTTGAGACAAGGTTTCTATGTGTAACTTTGTCTGTCCTGAAACTCACTCTGTGGACCAGGTTGGCCTCAAACTCACAGAGATCCATCTGCCTCTGCCACCCAAGTGTTGGGATTAAAAGCATGTGCCAGCACCGCCAAGCTGTTCTTTTCATTCTTAAGATAACATCTAAGCAAATGGTAAGTCAGAAAACAGATTTTATCTAAAATATTTGCCAAAGTTCAGATGCAGTACAGAAATGTCCTTAAACACAACAGCAAACACATTCACAACTGTAAGAGATTCTGGTTTCTGGGCCAGGCAAGTGAGCTTGCTATGTAAGCGAGGGATATGGAGGTAACAAGCCCATCCCAGGGTAGAACCCAGGTAACAGCTTCAAGGATGGTCTTGTGCTCTCTAATCTACTGCATGTGGGTTCATCTGCGGCCTGGCCTTGCACCCCCAGATGCATACGAGCCTCTGTCCCTGACCAGGAAATCTGTGTTGGAATTTTAGTAACCTTTGTTCATCAGTCAGGTCCTTAAATACCTCTGAGTTTCATTCTGGGCTTTTGTTGTTCCCGAGTTGCCCTGTAAACATTCCTATTGGAAAATTCCGATCTACCCTCAGATGAAGTAAGAGGAAAAGCCATGTGTCCACGCCCAGGCCAGCCCAGCCAAGGAGAACAGAGGGCTCCTCCAGGACTGGCTTTGTCAGTGTGGCCACAGTGTGGCTCCAGCTGGAACTCATAAGGAGCCTGTGGGGACTATGCTACGGGAGGTGGACAAGTGATGTCAGAGACTCTGGGGATCTCGGTACATGGTGGTGACAGTTGTTCTAGAGAACCCAGACCTTCTCTCTTCACCGCCAACATTTTTGTCCTTGTTGCTGTGTGTTTGCTGGCACAACCCTTGCTGCTCAGCTTCCTATCTGTCTCGGACTCCTCACTATTCAGGACCTGGGAGCCCAAGGCTACTCACGTCAGCATCTCCAGAGCCCAGATAGAGAGAAACATACCATCAAAAAGAATGCGTTGTTTTTAAAATATATGGTGTGACACCAGCCTCTGAGATCTGGTGCGCTGGTCTGGTCATTTTGAGAGCTGAAAGAATACTGAGAACCGTTCGCACCTTCGCAACGTGTTCTTTGGGCTCAAGTTTGAGGAGGGGTGTTGGGGTGTGCACCCTAATGCCACCTCCAGCAACCTCTCCGCCAGGTGGCGCTCACCTCTTGGTCTTAGTTCCTGCCCGGAAAAGTCTGTCACTTCAAATCTGCTCCAGAACCATTAGGACGTTGACTTCCTGTAGCCCAGTTTGTGCTCTCTGAGCCTGCCTTGGAGATTTGAATGCTGTTTTCCTGGGGACACAGGACTTGGTGAGGTGAGCCACCTCTGATACTGAAGTCTGGCGAGCCTGTTAAGAGACACAGTACCAAGTGTCGCACACACCCTGTTGCTTTCATTTGGGCAGCAGTGACAAGGGCGAACCGGTTGAGAAACTTGCTCTGTTGGATACCGTGGCCTTGGTAACAGGACTGCTGTCAGCTTTTGAGTTGCCGTCGTGACCCTCTGCCAGACGGACCTGGTCTCTGTAAACACGACCGAGGTTTGTGCTTAAGAGAAGAAATTTACAGAGGAAAGATTTTTGATCTGTGGGATTTGTGAAAAGAAGTTTTAATAAAAATACTCCAGACAGGCAGTCCCATAGGAGCCAGGGGGAGAATTCTTGAATGACCTATGGGTTTTTTTTTTCCCTCCCCTTTGACTGCTTAAGGGGTTGTACTTACTCATGGGTTGGTACTGCCATCACAAATATTAAATTGCATCAGAGCAACTGCCTTCAATACAGTCTTCCAACAACCCTCCACACTTGCCTCCAGGTGGTTTGCAGGATAACGAGACAAACGCCAAGGATGTTAACCTGAGCCATTGACAGATGTCCAGAATCCTTGGGACAACCTAATTCTCACCAGCCCTGAGACAACCTGCAGAGGGCTGGCTTCCCCACTCCCTCCCTTCACCCCACAGGTATAGATCCTCAAACTCTGGAAATGCTGGTTTACTTGAGGTAGCAATAAGTTCATTTCCTATGAAGCCTACAGGGGAGATGATTCAAAAATGCCAAATATGTTTTAAGCAATGTGCAATATTTTCAAATGTCCCTTTCGAATGGCGTGAATCTGTCATGGTCCTGCAGGGCTGGATGGTAAATGTGCACCTACACTTGAGTTACTCCCCACAGCAGCCCTGTTACATCCATTGTGAAGAGAAAATGCAGACTTGAGAAGGTGGTGATTTGTACAAAGTCATCACCTGGCTAGTATGTCTCCGACCTGTATTGAAAACCTCTGTGACAGAGTCCTGGCTCTCTCGTGTCCTTTACTAACTCTGGGTACCAGGCTCCGCTGTGGATATTAGGAACACAAACAGTATCTGCAAAACCTCCACCCTTGTGATGCTTACAGTCCAGTGGGGAATAGGAGCAGGCAGGTGGGGGGGCCAAACTCATGCATTAATGGGTAATGAGATCTTAGGGTAAAGAAAATAGGAGGGTGGGGCCCCCAGGCGCTTGCTTGACCGGATGCTGTGGCTTCCATTCATAGGATTACTGTCTTTATTCCATGCAATGATGCTTACTTTCCTTGGAATAAGATGTGTGAAGTCAGCAGTATACAGAAACAGTAAATGGAAAATTCCAGAGAAACCAAAATGCTGCAATATGTTTTTAGTGGCAATATATATACATACATACAATATATATGCATATATATATATTAAAATATTCCTGTTTATTATTAAATATTACTGTTAACCTTGTTCTTGGTCTGATTTGTAAACTAAGTTAGATTGTAGGTGCATACGATAAGAGACAGCATAGCATGTGTAGGATCTAAAACTACCTGAGGTCTCAGAGGCAACTGGGGCCGTTTCCCTATGGAGGAAGGCAGGTCACTGTGCTACTACCACAGCCCCCACCACACTAACCTCTTGTGGAAACATGCCTGGTCTGCTCTGCTTCATAGTATCAACATACAAAAGGAAGGTCCTTCAGACCTGAGCTTCTGCAGAGGTCTTTAGAGGTGACCAGTCCGGGAGAATCCTTCTGTAGCTTCTCAGTCGTTATTCCCATTCACACAAGGGCTGAACTTCTCTGTGGCATTGCTCTACTTTAAACAGGGTGTTCAGGCCACATTCGAATAAAGGTCTCAACACGGGGATTGAGTCAAGCGCAGTTCTGGAGGAAGAGCTTGGGACAAAGGAGAAAGCTATCCATCATGGTGGGAAAATCGAAGTGGCAGGAGCTTGAAGTGTCTGGTCACATTGTGGCCACAATCAGAAAGCAGAGAACACAAATACATATTAGTGCTAAGCCCCCCTTTTTTCATTTACAGGATCCCCTGCCTAGGAGGACAAGAAGAACACTAGTCGCAACAGGGCAACTGTCTGCAGGAGAAACAATCGTATCATCATGAACCGGTGTGAGGCTGTCAGGGACTACTCACCGGGAGGCTGAAGTTGGCTCACTCACGGGGATATTATCCAAGACACATGAGCTAGAGACAGAGATGTTCAGCCCACGTTTTATTGAGTTTGTACTTGCTAGTCCTTGTCTTGGGGAAAACAAAACAAAACTAAACTAAACAAACAAACAAAAACTGGTGCCCGATTCTGGTCTCCTGGGTTTAGTTATAAGTCACCTACTTCTGTGCACTTAGACATGTCTGCAAGCTTGCCAGAACTATGTCACATGACCAGATTTAACAGTGCTCTTTCTGGCTTAATTCTATCCTAAATTCTTTTCAAATTCGACAGATCTGCTGCAGCTGGAGCTTATTTATTGGAATGGGGTTAGATTGGATTCCAGATCTGTCGAGGATTGTCTGCCTCTGATCAGGTTTGAAGTCAGGCCAAGCCTGAGACCTGACTTGCAAGGAAGACAGTGGCCTGTGCAGGAAGAAGGCGAGCCTCAAAGAGTCAGAGGCCGACTAAGAAAATGGATGGGTCCCTTAGATCTGAGAAGCAACAGCGTTATGGAATAACAGATCTCAGACCCCAGGTTGGAGACAAATCCATCTGCAGCAGCTAAGATCAATGATGCAGGGGGTGAAATGGAGGATTGACTCCTCTGACGTCATCTCCTGGGCACAATGACAAGCTAAGGAACCCCAGAACCCATGAAAGGAAACCAAAGTGGGAAAGTAAAGAGCTGGGGTAATTCTGCACTAAATACCATTTCCAGTGTATCCAGGAAGGGAACAAGGAGGCTCAAATGTGGACAGGGGAGGGTAGTCAGCCGGTGTGCGAACTTGTGTGTGTGTGTGTGTGTGTGTGTGTGTGTGTGTGTGTGTGTGTAGTAAACCACACACTGGGTTAGTCAGGCACAGTTTACTAAATATAACCTCTCTAACATCCTTATTTGCGTTAGGGGCACAAAGGAGGAAATTACACAAACAGCATGGGCCATGGGATAGCTGCATCATCAGAAACTGACTGAGCGGTGACATCATGGAACCGGAATCTCTTTCACATGGAAGAGCTGCAAGTGAGCCTTTAGGTACTAAAAGTCCCGATTTTTGTGGCACTTTCTTTTACTTTGAGTACTTGCAAAATGCTAACACAGTAACAGAAACAAGCTTCGTTTCTTTTCAGTTTTAAGGGAAGAAGAGTCTTGAAGTTCTCTCTGTTTTGCAGTTTAGAACCAAATCTCCAGGGTTAAAGCCAGGTTCTTCAAAATTCCACAAATTGTTCTAGCCTGCAGCTGACTCCATGGCTCCCGGTGAACCTGGGATTCCTCTAACCTTCTCCAGTCTGCATGAAGCTAGAAACACAGAAACTCACTGACATGGTCTTTTAACTAGTCAAGACTCAGAGATATTGCTCTATACTGCACACGCGGCTGCCCACCCTGGCACATAGACTGGCCACAGAATGGTCTATCAAGGCTTGAGTCCAACATGAAATATTCCAAAGGCAGAAGCCTTCAATGTGACCCCCCCATCCTGTTTGTAAAAGAGAGTTGCTGTCCACACAGAAAATTACAGTCTGCACACATGTGGGTTTGGAATCTGAACAAGTATTTTGTTCTGGAAACACGTTGCCATAGATCGACATGACGACTCCTTGGCAGTCACAATTTCTCTTTGCCACGTTACCAGGGTGCACAGAAGGCTAGGGAGCTCTGGGCTTTGCTGTTCTCAAAACTCAGAAACCACATGAGGAACGTGGCAGTCATCTGAGCCAGTATCTTTTCTGGAAATAATTGCTCTGTGAGAGCAGAACTGTGGAAATCTGCAGGGCCCCATAACAACATCCAGGCGAACCCAAATAAAGAGAACCAAATTCCCTTCTGTTTTGTTCACAGCTGGGCCTAAGACTCCCAGACAGTGAGAGGCCAGTCTTTACCTACAACCCACTTAGGAGTCAATGTCATGGTCACGACCTTGTTAAGCAACAGCAGATTCATGTGTAGGAAAGTTTCTAAAAAAAACTAAAGAATTGCCTTTTGTTGTAGTTTTAGACTTTAATTCTTGTAGCATGAAAGCCAGGCAAGATGCTTCTGGTTTGCTATTACTACCAAACCCTGTCAGGGTGTTCTGTGTTGCGTTAGTCGGTCAAAGAAAGAAGTCTCCCAAGATGAAATTTGAAGGCCGTGTGGCAGCAGGAAGGTTCAGTCTCTCATGAATTGAACTGAACCTCCAACAGCTGTACAAAGGCATTTTTATTGATTGTTACACAAAGTTGCTTTTCTGGGTAAAGTATTTTCCCATACCAAGGTCCCTGTTCTAATTCAGATGTCTCTCTACAGGAAAGTATCACACGCCCCTGCTGCTTTAGTCCTCACTGGGTACCACTTGCAGGCACAATAACCCAAGAACTTCAGGTGTGCCAGAAGTGGCTTGTGACCAAAATTATCCAAAGACTGTAACACCCCTTCAGAAAAACAACTGCAAATCACGAAAAACAATCACTGCCACAATGATTCTTCAAGGTCAAAGTCCTTCTAGCAAACAGCTGTTTACTCTAATGATTTACCTTAGTTACAGTGACTGCTAGATTCCTACAATAAAACTCCATCTCAGAACTCTGTTGCTCCTTTTATCTATATAAGTAGCACGTAATTAAAAAAATGTTTGGTTTGGGTTTTGTGTGTGTGTGTGTGTGTGTGTTTGCGGGGGGCAGCGTGGCTTTTGGTATTTGTTTGCTTTTTTTTTTGAAACAAGTTTACCCTATAAACTCAGATTGACCTCAAACTTATGTTCTTCCTGCCTCAGGCTTCTGAGTGGTGGAGTTCAAGTGTATGTCACCACGCCTGTCTTGTGTAGCACGTGTGAAGAATCTATACACAGCCTTCCACGTATTTGAAGTCGTCACCAGACTTAATGTGGTACCTAGGACACTGGAGAAGCAGTTGTTATACTCTACTGTTGAGAGAATAACAGCAAGGAAAACCAGTCTGTGCATGCTCAAGACAGACACATTTTTAAAAAGGTATTTTTAAATCTGAGGGTAGTTCAGTTTGCACATGAAGAAACTGAACTGAGGAGCAATGCCTGTGAATACAAGATAAGCCCACTTTCTCACTGAAAGGTTTTGAACCCCAATGTTAAATCTCTTCACTCTCCTCCAACGCAGTAAGCCAAATCAAGCCGAATTTAAAATAAAAGACCAGGTTTAGTGGACAAGCTGCTCCTGGGTGACTTTGCTGGCCCCCAGAGATGAGACAGGAGAGATCAGGTGAAACCATGTGGTCACTCTCTAGGATGAAGTTTAAATACTCTGCTGGTGTGGTCTTGAGCAGCTCCAGGGAGTCATTGCTTGGTGGGCTTTCTTAGCTGGGTGTGGTTTGGAATGGTGGGGAGGGAGTGGGACCAAAGTGGACTTCCGACTGAACATTCCCAAGTCAATTATTGTAGGTATTTCTCTGTGGTGATGGAAAGTTGGGTAACAGTGGTGCAAAAAAGAGAAATGTAATGATTTGATTTTTCTCTTAAAAAACTTTCGCTTGTCTCTGAGATACAGGTAAAGCTTTTTATTCTTAAAAAAATTGTATGTGTGTGTTTTTCTTTTTCTTTTTTTCTTTTTCTTTTTCTTTCTTTCTTTCTTTTTTTGGTTATGTGTATGTGAATGCTGGTGCCCGGGGAGGCTGGAGGCATCAAATTCGTCTGGAGCTGGAATTACAGTAGTTGTGAACTGCCTGATGTGGGTGCTGGGAACTCAACACGTGTCATCTGTGAGAGCCGAGCCATCTCTTCAACTCCACAGCTGCATATGGAATGACAGAATTTGATCATTCCCTTAACGCATTGGCTGAATGAGTGATTTGAACAAAGCAGATAAAGTGCCAAGGAGCATGCAAACATTTTTATCGTAGGAACACACTCAAGACACATTATAAGGGATGTGTGACATTTTTGTAATGACATTGCTCAACAATGGGACTCGGGATTTATTTGCTGCACAACCAACCAGAGACTGTCTCGGAATAAAGAAGCTGCTTATGGGGAATGTTTTCTAATGGGTAGAATCCCATTGAGGGGAAGTCTTGGTGAATTCTCAAGGTACCATGGCAGTGTCAGCAAGGAAGGAAGGGCAACAAAGTGTCCACAAAATGTCTTTCATTTATACAAAGCCGAATCCTTAGATGTGATATGTCGCTGGTGGCTATTCCTACTACTGAAACAGAGTATCCCAGAAGGTGAGGTTTGCCTCACTGCTTGCCTTACAACCATGCAGGAGGAATGAGAAACTGATTTTTACAAGAGGATCTCTTCAACCCTGAAGAGAAGATACAGCCAGCGTCTTCCGAGAGCATCCAACCCAGGCATCCATAGCATTTTGCACCCCTTTAGTTTCCCTCTGCTAATAAATATTCCCCAGCACTAGCTTTTCTCCTTTTCTGTTCCTCTGTGAGACGTCTTTGTGCCTTCCCTCGGTGAACCCCTGTTTCTCTGTAAGTGGAGCAAGTGCTTTACACGGTACTTTCTGTTTTGCCTCCCAATCTGGTCATCATTGCTCAAATCTGGTCATCATTGCTCAAATCTGGTCATCATTGCTCAAATCTGATCATCACTGCTCAAATCTGGTCATCACTGCTCAAATCTGGTCATCATTGCTCAAATCTGGGAATGTGCCTTTGAAATAATCCTACAGATAAGCCGAGAAGGGGAGCTTTGGTATAGGGCGATAGGATGTGAAAGATGTGTTCTTCCACCAACACAATATTTCAAGATTAGATTTGGGCTCAGGGCATCTTCATCTCCAACAGTCTGAACATCCCACAGCCGTTGTAACAGGACTAAGATAACTCATGGATGTATTCAGTAGTTACGCTGCTGCTGCTGCTGCTGCTGCTGCTGCTGCTGCTATGACAAGACTTCTGATGACAGAAATTTAAGAGAAGAAAGTTTTAATCTGACTCGTAGTTTTAGAGACCTCAGATTATGGTCATTTGGTCCCAGTTGCCTAGGTAGGATATTCTGTCAGTGGGAACATGAAGCAGAAGAGAGCTAGTCTCTTCATGACTGCCAGGAAACAGCAAGTCTCAGGAAGTGGCTAGGGTTAATATTTTCCCAGATATCGGACTCCAGTGACCCACTTCCTTTAGTTCAATTCAGCTCCTAAAGTTCCCTTAACCTTCCAAAACACAGCCACCAGTTGGGAACCAAGCAAACACGTGAGTCTGATGTGTGTGGGGAGGCTCAGTTTTGTGTTCCTGTACTTATTTAGCCATTTTTTTTCTCACCTACCCCTAATCTATATCATTCTGTTGGATTTCATGCATCCCCCTGATTTGCCTGAAGTTCTGTTAATGTGTGTCACACCCTGGTGCCATCCGCTTCAGAAGCAGTCCAAAGAAGTCTTCCTTTAGAGCCTATTTACTACACAGTCATAAACAGACTCACTTTAATGTTAAAATCACTTCCAGAAGTCAAGCATTGAAAGTATCCTACTGTCTCGGAAGTTTGATCTGTTGAAACTCAGATGCATTCAAACCAGATGTTGAACAAGAAGGAAGTGGTTTGGTAAAGTAAGATACAAGAGCATGGAATATTATGATAGGACTAAACTTGTGATTTGGAAGTCTGTTTTGAGATATAAGATGGCATGGCGTTTTATGGAAGGATACTTAAAAGCTTTGTACACCCCAATTATAACTACGCTAAATGTCAGTATCCCAGAGAAGTTAAATGCAATATGTGAAACATGGTGAGGTCTATGTATTAACTGTTTTAAAATATTTTATTTTGGTGGGGAATTATAGTTAAAAATTTCAAAGGAAATATGAGCCCTTTCTTCTTCCTGTTTGTCTTGAAGACCATCCACTGCATAGTAATAGAGTATGTGAATGGAGTGGTTCCATCTACCACATACACTAGGTTAGCAGTTGGAGGAGTCTTATGCTATTTTCACACTGCAAAACCAGGCGATACTTGACAGTGTGATGCTGGATCCTGTGGGACACATAAAGGTGGCTGACTTGGGCATGTGCAATGAAAGTGTCTGGGAAGGGATGACATTGAAGACATTCTGTGGCACTCTAGACTGCATTGCACAGAGGTCATTGCTAATCCATCCTCAGGAAGGTCTGTGGGTAGGTAGGCATTCGGAGTACTACTGTACAAAATGTTGACCAGGTAGGCCCTTTCGCTTAGCATGCAAGATAAGAGGCTTTATCCCAAGTCTATGCCTGAGAAAGCAGTGTCCATCTGCAGAGGGCTAAGGACAAGGCACCCAGATAAATGGGTTGAAGACCTGAGGGGAACGTGACATGGAAGTATGTGTATTTTTTATGGTAATTGAGACAAACTTGAACACACAGAGCTTTCCACCTACATATGAGCCCAAAGCTCTGCTTGATAGAGATTCCCAACTGCAGGAAGACTGAGAACACTACATTCCAGTAACAATGGGGAGTTGAGAACTGCCACTGGTGACCCAGAGAAGGAAAGAATGGAGCTCAGTTCTTGCTTTGACTCGGTGAGAGGGGTCTTAGGACACTGAATTTTGGGAAGGGAATGATGACCAAGAGGACGATTCCCAGCTTAGTTAAGTGTGCTTTCAGCACTGTTGGGTCGTAACCTTGCTTAAGTACACTAGGGAATTTTTTTTCTCTAATTATATATTCAAAGTCTGTGAAGGATTCAGGCTGTCTGTTTTGTCCAGAGCTGTGTGATATTATATAGCAATAGTTGAAGAAACAGTGGGAAAATTTGTTCACCCAAAATATACAGCTACTGGGACACCTGCTTGTCCTCGACTCTAGGGAACACATTTATTAGTTTCTTTTCTTATTGCTGTGGCACAATACCCGACAAGAAGCGACTTTAGGGGAGGAAGGGTTTATGTCAGCTCACATTTCAAAGGGAGGTAGTCCATCATAGCAGAGAATGTGTGGTGACTGGAGTGGGAGGCAGTTGGTCACTAAGAGGTTCTCTGTCCCCTGATGATAGTTTTCTCTGCCAACATGGTAAACCAGATCAAACCAAATTGGAAAAGTATAACAACAGGTTTATTTGAGCAAAGCAACTCCCAGATGGGTTCTCCAGTCCCAGAGATGGAGGACAGAAAAGCCAGACACCCGAGCTAAAGCAGGGAGATTATATAGGTTATAGGCAATGGGTAATGACGATCAGTCACAAGCTGGGTTTGTGTCCAAATATGATCCAAAGCTGACTGTTTTAGGTGGAGACTTGGGGGGCTGGCAGCTTTCGGAGAGAAAGCAGCAGTAGCCACCAAGAATGAGGAACTGGGCTTTTTGGTGTCTTCCCTTTGTTTGGAGACTCTCTGCGTGGGTAGTGCTTGAGGAGGTCGGGAGGGAGGAATGGGACTTTATAGATCAAGCAGGGAGGTGGGGGAGTGCTAGTACTCAGCTCATTTCCTTCTTTAGATTTTTTGATTTATTATTAGTACATGTGTATTCGTGAGTGAGTGTGTGTGTGTGTGTGTGTGTGTGTGTGTGTGTATTCATATGCACGTGCACGTGCACTGTGCAGTGTTTGTGAGGACCAGTGTGCACATACTACGGTGTGCCTGTGGAGATCAGAGGACAACATTGAGGAGCTGGTTC